AATCTAATTACTAGAAGCTAAAATATAAATAGTTTTATATTATAGTCTCAGATATTACCAAATATGGAGAACATCTAAAGCGGAAACAAATCATGTGATACAAATTATAACTATGATTAGATGATCACTACAAAAGTTATGATTGGTTAAGGTAGATATTAATTTTTTATTATGCATTAATTTTTTTTGATCTTTCGATAATGATAAGGCATATATATGTTTGATTTGTTATCATTACACATTTTTTATTTTTATTTTACTGATTGCATTTATTTTTTTAATCTTTGGATAAGGCATAATTTTTCTTTTTTTTTTCTTATAATTATAATGAAATATTTATTATTATAAATGTCTTTATTTTTTTCATTTTTATTGTAGGTTCATTTTTTTTTGTAACTTGGTCTTTAAGTTAGTTCATAAGTTCGTAATATAAACTTTTAATTAACCTGGCAGTTTGTCCTTTAAAAAAAATAGTTTTTTTTTTTTTTTTTTTTTTTTTTTGACTTATAATAAACGCTTTAGTATAGACCTTTTCTATAAAACTGAACATTGCCAGGTTAAGAACGATTTACAAAAGAAAAAAAGTAACAGAAAAAAATGAACAAAAAAAAAGCATTTATATCTTATTTTTCAGTTATGTTTTTTGCATCTGCTTCTCCCTTGAGTATCACATTAGCTGCTCCCTCGGGTGTTATAACTTCTGCTTTCTTGGGTACAGTGTCTTCTGCTTCTTTGGATACCATGTTTTCTGCTTCTTTAGGTATCACATTTTCTGCTTCTTTGGGTGCCACATCTTCTGCTCCCTTGGGTGATATGTCTTCTGCTTCTGCAAATATTACATTTGCTGTTCTCTTAGGTGTTGTAGTTGACATGCCTTTAGCTGTCTCTTCAGTTTTGACATCGGTATTACTTACATCAGATGAAAAGCGTGATTATCTTTTTAATGTAACTGGTCTTTTGGAAATCCAAATTGATGACTTTAATAATAACTAATGGCCATTGGTCTCAAATATTTAGACACAATGAGGTTTACACAACCATGTAAATGGCAATGTTAGAAAGGTTTTTGCATGTCGTTTTACAAAACACCATGAATCAAGCACCTGACAAAAGGAGAATATTCCTAATAAAAAGCGTCGAATTACAAAGAAATGGCCATCTGGTCTATGTTTTGCAAAAATTGAAGTCTCTTGGCTAGCTGCTCTAAAGATAGTTCAAATAAAACGGTACAAAACTCTTCCAACTATACACACACTTTGTTAGAGGTCGATAGGATAAAGCGGTCAAAGATCATTAGAAGTTTGGTTGAAAATGAGGTGGTAAAAAATTATTTCCCACTAGCAATAATGGCCACTATCAAAGAATATGTAATGACCAAGTTGGGTCTTGATGAAAGTGTACATGAGCTGAAATGTAAAGAAGTAATAAACATTAAATATAAAGTTCATGGATATATGGAAGCCCACCTCATTGGAAATTCCAATTTACAAGTAGATATATCAGAAGCCATATCTTTTTTAATAAAAAAAGGATACACTGTTGAAAATTATTGTGTTCTTTACCGATCTACTAAGGGTATAGTGTTTGTGCATCTGGTGCAACTCGAGAAACTTGTGAAACATGGGTGGCTAACACTCATAGATTTGACTCACAAAACTAATTGGTATGATTGGCGTCTGTTTATTCTTTATGTCTGTGATACTTACGGTTGTTGGAACGTAGGTGCTTACTTTTTTGTGAATAGTAAAGATGGTGATACAGTTGCTGAAGCATTGCTGATAATCTGTAAAAAGTGCTGTCACTGGCTCCTGTGATATATACTTTCTGATCAGAGTTACATCGAGGCTAAGAGTATAAAAAAAGCCTTTTCCGGTATAACCGCTGGTGAACAAGAATGTCAAATTATTCTTTGTGTCGTTCATATTATGAGAACATGGATGCAAAGAATATATGAAAAAGAAACCTGGAACATTATGATTGCAGCGATGTATAAACAAACAAAGGTTGGTTGTGAAAGCCTTGTTTAGGATGCTATCAGTTGCTACTCTGTTCCTGCTATACAAAATTATATTAAAAGAAACATTTGAAAAATACACAGCAATGAGGTTTGTGGGCTCGCCAACATTCTCCTTTGCTTTTGCAAGTCACATCTACAAATCCGTTGGAGTCTTTTCATTTTGAATTAAAAAGAATAACGTCCTCATTACATGGCTTATTCGGTATATATTCTTTTTTATTGTATACCTTTTTTTTAAAAAATCTCTAATTTATTTATTTTAAGTGCTGTTCATAGTATTGTTGATATTGATTATAAGAAAAGGAGTAAGTCTGAATGTGCCACCTTTGATTTTCGTATAAAAAAAGTATCTGTGTATAGTGTTGAGAATAATATTATCAAGCAAATTCATAAGTTTTCTTTTCTGTTTCAACACCACCTTGTTAAAAAGGCCTGTGTAGTAATGATAAGGCTTGAGAAAGTGAAAGGTATACTGGGTTTAACTTCTATTGTTTGTCACTGCTTATTTCATAATCGGTATTTATTGCCATGCAAGTATATTTTTCATGAACATATGTATGGTAATAAGTTACTGACCACTGAGGTATAGAAGGCGTTTTAAGAAATATTTAAAGAAAGTGGATTCGAGGCATATGAAAGTTGGGAATCGTTTACAAAATATGTGTAAACAGAAGAACAAAGAAAAGCTAAAAATTGAAGGGTTGCCGTAGTCGAATTAACTAAAAGAGTGCGTGATAGATACTGGAGTGTTGAAGAGACAGGTGATATTAAAAGGGTGGAGGCTTACATTTCTATATTAAAAACCTCTTTAAATCTGATTATATTGCAATTTAATCAATGTAAATAAATAAGAAAATTAAATAAAATTTTAATAAATATTATTTTTCCTAAAATAGAATTGTATTCTTTTATTTATTTATTTTTTTATTTTATTTTATTTTATTTTATTTATTTTTTTTTAGATTCACTTTTATTTATATTGATTCAGTTGGTTAGTATAAGAATTTTTATTGCCTGGTATTTAGTTAAGTTACTAATATTATAATATCTATATTTTATATTTAGATTCGTGTTATTCATAATAGTTTAATGTGGTAATGATCTCTTATTAATTGTGTATTTAGTCTAAGCCATTTATACTATTTATCATCATACCACTCAATTAGATTCACTTTATTCGTATAATTTAGTAAGTATAATAACGTTATTAATGTATTTAATTTGTCGTACGTATGTACATAGCAATTTTACCATCATATTAACTTCGTTCACATTTATTGTAGATCTTTCTATTTAAATTACTATCCATTAGGTTTTTTATTTAGGATCAATTTTAGATTTACTTCATTTTCAGTAGTTTAATTGTAGGTACAAAAAAATTTTATTATGTATTTCGATAAGCCATTCGTTAGTCCCTTATTAAACGTGATGATTTAAAATTAAAAGAGATAAAAATTTGGAATTATATATCAAATGAGAATTGCATAAAATCATGCTTATTATCAAGTGGACCTGAAAACTGGACTAGTGAAAGCTTTTCAGCCTTGAATAATATATTTGCAAAAAAATCATACTGACTTTAAAATTTTATTTGAATAACTTGACCAGGAAGTAGAAAAGCATTTGCGGACGCACTATACAAAAACACCATACTAACTTCTCTGAATCTTAATAAACATAGATCAGGAGGAATAAAAGCATTAGCAGATGCACTTGGTAAGAACACCACACTAATTTCTTTGATTCTTAGTTGGATTAATCTTGGATTATGGTGAGGAGAAGCATTATTATATGTACTTTGCAATAACACCATATTTACTTTTTAGAATTTTTATTTTAATAATCTTGAAACGAAGGTGTAAAGATATTAGTAGATGCAAGAATATTACGCTTATTCTCTGATTTGTAATTGGAATAATCTTAGATTAGAGGAAATTATTGTCAGATGCACTTTGGAATAACATCATACTAGCTTTTTTGATATAATAATCTTGAAACGGGAGGAGGAAAAAGCATTAGCAAATGCATTTTGCAAGAACACCATGTTTATTCTCCAATTTGTAGCTGAAATAATCTTGAATTAGAGGAAGAAGCATTAGAAGGTGTGTTTTGTAATAACATCATGCTGGCTTTTTTGAATCTTTGTTTTAAAAATTTGGAGTGGGAAAAGAGAAAGCGTTATAATTTTAAACTACTTATAAGACTAATACTGTCTTTGCTTTCTGTGAAAGATTTTAGCGAATGCACTTTACAAGAACACTATGCTGACTTTTTTGATTTTTAGTTAGAATAATAGATAGAGAAGCATTAACAGATGCACTTTGCAATAATGATACACTAGCTTTTTTGAATTTTATTTTAATTCTAGCAAATGCATTTTGCAAGAACATCCAGCTAACTTCTTTGACTCTTTAAAATAACAGATTATTTAATTTTTTATTTGCTTAGTTGGTGGGTATAAAGATCTTTTTTCAGTCTTGTTATTATTGCACGATGAAAATTTATATATATATGTTTTATTTTTATTTTTATTTTATTTTATTTTATTTTTGAGTTGTATTCTCGCTAATTAGGTAGCACAACATAAAAAAAAGATTGGAAGAAATTCCGATAGAGGATGGAAAAGACCCTAACGGCTTGTTCAGGTACTTTGGGTAACAAAAGTTTGTACATTGCGTGTATGTTTTTGCCTACTGTTAAGATAGATTTTATGGTAAAAGCCTAATGATTTGACTTCCAATGGCCTTTTAGTGCCAGTTGTCTGCCAATGGTAGACTGCATCAGAGATTGAAGTCTCCTCTAAATTTTTCTTCGGCTGATTCAGGTAGTTATGATCATGAATTTTATTAATATACCAGTAGCTTGCCAAAATTTTTTTAATTAATGTTAAAATGTTAAGCATTAAATACTTATAATTACGTCATGTAATATATTGGATCAAAGTGCACCACCAGCGTCCCTGGGTTAAAATCAAAAAAAAAAATTATATTGATCAGTAATCGAGGATCTAAAAAACGAATTATTGAAATAGTCAAAATTATTAGTCTAATCAAATTAAATAATGACTTTTTCAAATCAGGGTAATATATCAAATTTTTTTAATTATCTTAAATTTCTTTTTTCTTACCTCAAAATTATACTATCATGAAGTAAAAATGATAGTCTAATCAAATTTTAATAAAGATATAAATAACAATTAAATTAGTATCGTTATGAATCACTGAGTCATCGTTATATTTTCAAAGAACGACCGTATACGTAAATTTATGAATTGTTACCTAATTATATATATTCTCACTGCTTGATTTCACCTTTTTAAAAATCCCACATCCTTAACTAAAAGAATAATGATCCAGACTGTTGAAAATAAAGAAGAAATAATTAAAAACTCTGTTAATCATATTTGGAAAGCAACTGAAGGCAAAGTTGCTACTATTACTTTCGATGACCCATTAAACTCAGCAACAATAACCTTAAATAATGGCAACAAAACTATTTTAAATTTGGATGTGCCAGGAGTGGTTCTTGTAAATGAAGAAATTTTTAGGAAGATAGTAAATGTGGTTGACAGATCTAACAGAAAAGAACCTATTATAATTGACGAAGTAGAAATAAGGCTTCAAGAAAGTGCAACTCAAAGTTCTAGTTTTGAAATAGAGGAAGACTGTACAAATAAAAAATCAAGTCCTTTAGATGATTCAGAAGCTTCTGTAGACCAACCTTTAAACTATAAAGAAAGTGATGTAAGTATTAAAAATTTATTTAGCAATTTAATATAGCTATCGTTTAGTACCTAAAATAAAAATTTTTAGGATAATGCTATCGAGAAGAATCGAGGAAATGAAATTCAAGGTTTGAATTCTAGTATTCAGGTAAAATTACATGTAGAGGAATATATTGAGAACTCAAAAAATTAATTATAAAATTAAGATTGATGGGAGTATGACGATTTTGGTAATTTCTGTCTTGATGGTGACAAGTTTTATTTTTTTGACTAATTATTCTTTAAATATATTGAAATTAGAAAACGCATCTTATTTTATTTTTTATAATTATCGCTATAGAATCAACCCCCATGTTCATTTTTTAATAACTGAAAATAACTTAATAATTAAAATTAAAAGGAATACGATAACCCACAATCTGATGAGTATTATGACTCGATAGAAGAAGCAGATGAACAAAGATTTAATGAGATAACATCAAGGTTAACGAAAAGTAACTCCGGTGATAAGTACAAATTCCAAATAAATAATCAATTTAAAGCTTCAAAAAATAAAATTGAAAAAAATAATTCTAAAATTGGAAAAGTCGATAAGGTGAATAAATATTACATGATTATAATATACTCAATATATACTTTACAATCTTCATCGTCAATTTTATTATTTCTAAACCATTTTGTATTAACTAAAGGCCAACGATGAACCTGTTAACAACTTCATAGAAAGAGTTCCTTCAAATTTGACAGAAGATTCCTTACCTAGCATTAATGAAATATTGGTAAATGTTATAAATGTGTTAGTTTTACTATGATCATTACATACTAATGAAACAATTTCTAGAAACCGTCTGTAACCCAAAGCAGCCATCCTAGTAAGGAAACAAACCTTTCACACTCTAAAATTGTTGATACTGAAACAAGTGTTGAAGGAAGCAATAGAAATGTTAGTAACGTTATTATTAGCTTACATTTTTCTTTTTATACTTATTTCTTTCACTATCTTAATTAAGGATGTGCTTGCAATTTCATCAATTATTAACGGTCAAGAGTCATCTACCCCACCACTAAATATTACCAAAAAAAATTCATCAGATGTATGTATTAATGCATTATCAGATAATGAGTCAACATTTTCAATAGTAAATTTGGCAAGTAAGATGTTTAACTATTTTTATTATTTAAGCATACATACGCAACGGAAAATGATATTCGACAATATCCATATGTCCTAATTGAAAGTGTCGATACAGTATGAATTTTTTTTACCGCTGCAAATTATTGTTTGGTGATACTATTAAATGCTATGATATTAATATCATTTAATAATAAACTTTCAAACAAAAGAATAGTTCAAGTACAAAAGTTATAGAACAATCTAGTGATTCATTTCCTACCGCTACTGCTACAAATAATACTGAATTTTTGCGCGGTAATAATCGGGTAAGAAATTTTAGTTATATTTTTTTAACAAAGACAATTTTTCGCTGATAAATTTTTTTTAAAAAGAAATCAAAAAAAAGGAAACGCTCGAATGTATCAAATAACAAGAAGGAAAAACAAAGAATGCAATATTCTCCGACTGAAACTGATCTTGATGGTATGTTAGTAGATATATTTTTCAAACATGCATATTCAAAATTACAAATTGATATAACTTCTAAAACGATTAGAGCATGAATCAACATCGTCGAATAGCGAAGAATCGCAAACAAGTGGTAGGCTTATTGCAAAAGATAATTTATTCAAAAGCTACTCGAAAGTTTAGTTAGATTAATACCTAAATAAATTTTACAGAAATCTTTAATGGATTTGAAAAAAATAAGGCCCTTCTTTTAAAAAATAACTTAAGAAATAGTCAATTAATAGTAGATAAAGATAGACTTTTTTCAAAAAGCAGATCAATAGAAAATCTCTTAGTCACAGATTTGAACAACCATTTTAATGATAATGAAGTCATTAATTGTTCTCTACCACCATTACTTTCTTACTCAACAAATATAAAATCATTGGAGAATTATTTTAAAGAATGGGCGTCGCAATTTAATCAACTTAAATCAACAAAAACGAGAGTTGAAGAGAGAATGCTAAAAATGTTGTATGAACTTAGAGGAGCATATCTATCATTACTCGTAATGTTAGCAAATGAATACGAACGAAACATGAGAAGACTTCCAACCCATAAAACCCTGCGCGGTTTTGTCAAAGAAAAAATAACATTTTTAAATATTGAAGAAAGACAGGAGCGAAGATTTTGGGTAGAAACGTGGCGGCTTATAGAATTACTCAATCTAACGCATTGTCATGCATCAATTCTTATAGAATCTGGCCTTACGGCTAGTTATCTAATGAGAGAAGAAAATGAAAAGTACAATCAATTCATAAAAAATCTTCTGAACGACAATCAAGCCAGTCATGAAACTCCCAAATTCGATGAATCTTTGATGCAAAGGTTAGAGTATTATCACATGATTTTGCGGTCTTGCAAGACCGCAAAATCATGTGATCTTGATCTTTTTGGCTTTAACTAGCAATGATTTATTAACTTAAACACATTTTTGTATTTTATTTTTAAGAATCAGAAATAATAATATTATATCGTATATCCAGTCTTTCTGATGAATTAAAATGGTATTGTACAAATATTTTAGTAATGTTAAATGTGTTATGAACTTTGAATCATTTAATTCCTGAACTTCAGATTTGAAATAAACATTAGGAGTAATATATATATTCGCGTTCCATAAGCAAACTTCTCAATATAATAAATTATTGAATATTGAGCCGAATAATATTGAGCCAAATAATATTAATATTAAAGCTTCATAAAGAAACTTATAAGTAAATAATTTTTAATTAGAACTTTGTATCTGTGTTGCACAGCTACCTTATTAAATAAATAGTAATAGATACTATTTATTCTACATATATTTTATTGAATTTTTATTAACACTAATGATGAGCATTAATTAATAAGATTTTTTTGATAAGATTTTTTTGATTTAAGGAAAAACGAAATCATTTTTTTTAAAGTCTAAAAATTAAGTCGAGATTACATATCAATATATAAACCTTCAAAAAATAAATTAAATTAAAATAAATGCGAGAAAATGTTATAATTTAACTTACAATAACTAATTCTAATTATCTAAGGGAATGGGCAGAAATCAGCTGATTTCTTGGGAGAGGGGTATAGCAGTTTAATAGAATAATTGATTTGTGGTATAACTGATCTTGATCATTACTTAACCCATCACTGATTGGTCAGTATCACGATGTTTATCAATTATCCATTTTTGTAAAATACAAAAAAATATGATTGGTCAGTATATTGGGACTTGTTATTTAATAAAGCAAACGAGACATAATCATCTCTAAGGGCCATTTCAGCCTTTATTTATATTATCATTCTAACTATGACTGATTTAATTACATAAACTCCATTTCTATACTTTCTTTATTTAATTCAACTTCTCTAATTTATTCACCTAAACCCTTATACTTATTAAATCCCCCTTTATCATTAAATCTCCCTTTTCTATTAAATCTCGCTTTTCTATTAAATCTCGCTTTTCTATTAAATCTTGCTTTTCTATTAAATCTCACTTCCTTGATACAGTATCGGTATATTTAATAAATCGCATTAATGCAATTAATTACCAGGATATCCATATCAAGGAATTGATCGCCATACCCACTCTCACGTGATGCCCCGGCATCTTAATTTCATCACATTATTGGGTTTAACACTAGGCACCAGTGCCTTATGCATGACGGCTCTGCAGAGCCGTGAGCCGCTCAGTATAGCCGAGCTAATTAACGGCTCAGCTCAAGAACGGCTCGGCCAACTATACATTTTTTAATTTTTAAAGAGCAATAACTAATAAAATAATACTTTCTTTCAAATAAAATGGTTCGAACTTCACATGAGCAAGGCAGAATGAATAAAAAAATTCTTCTAGATTTCATAATTTGAATTTAATAATTACCTGCTTTTGACTTTAAAAATACCGAGAAATCCTGTTAATTATAATGAATATCCGCTATAGCATTATATAATATAATAATAAAAATTTTAAATTTTTTAGAAAATTAGTCTATTCAAAAAAAAACTCTTTTCGACGATCCTCTGGTCAACAACAACAAAA